ATGCGTGTTACCATTATGAAGTTTGAATGCTGCGGAGCCATCGCCCTAAAGTCTTGAGGTTGATTTAAGTTTATGAAACATTTGATTTGAGTCTAGATTATTTAGGGTTCATGATTGTAGAGGCTCGATTTAGGCTGTAAATTAGAAATTGAAGAAAGTTGATGGTGTACTGTGGTAGGGGAGTGTGAGACGAAGACGATGATATTACGTTTTGGATAATGTGAGTCTCCGCCGTGGCAGAGCTTTGGTTTACTTAAAAAACGTGTTTAGTATAATGGTGAAGAAATATGAAGCGAACGGAATTCTGATTCTAGGCTTTCCGTTGCCAAGCATGTAAGGTGGGCTCAAGGCCCCTAAGCCCAATCATTTCCTAATTACACCCCCTGGTTTCCACACGCATCTCCTTATGGGTGCTTGTTGAGATGCATTGGGCTTGTGTCTCCAAAGCCCAAACAATTTCTCCACACATCCTGATCAATAGTGCACCCCTTTGCATTGTCTTCATTTCATTTTCGTTGTTTCTTTTTATTACTTGTTATTTTTCTTTCTTATTCATATTCTTTTTAATAAATCTTTTACCATATTATGGCATGAGAAGTAATTAGAAAAATGAGTTTGTGATTTTATGCTATTTGTTCTTAATTCATATTTTTGTGAATAACAAAAATAATGCGTTTAGTTATAATTAATCAAATTTTTAGGATTGATTTAAACTAGATTATCAACCAATGACATAACCATGTTCCCTTAGGCAAGATTAATTTCAGAAACTAATTATGATTTCCTTAAAATTTAAGTTTGTTTCTTTGTCTAGTTTTTCCACTATTTTCATCTTGTTTGATTAAGTTGATCAAAATTTGCTTTGATCACCTAAATCCTTTGACTGTGCTCATTCCCTTTATCTAAGTCAAGTGATTAGAAGTCTCTTGATCACTTGACAAGACTAATTCTATGTACTGGAGCTGCTAGTCAAGTGATCAAAAGTCTCTTGATCACTTGACAAGACTAATTCTATGTACCGGAGCTGCTTTGGACCTCAACTCAAGACTTCACACTTCAATCAAGTCAAGAAATTGAAAGCAGAATGGAAACTTGATTACCATTCAAGCACAACAAAGGTTCCTGAACACTTGTAAATCGTGAGGAAAATTATGCGCCACGAGGCTTAAGCAATGGGGAATGAAGAGAGGGATTTTTTCCTATTCTTGTCTAGAGTACCTCTAGGTACGGGAAGCAGGACCTATTTACTCATAGTACTCGCCTCCATTCATAGACTTTAGTGCAATTCAAATCACATAATTGACAAGTCTTCATCCCCACATTTAACAGATAACACTGCAACAAGCTCCTTCTTGGACCAAACACACTCCTCTTTGGATACTGGTTTCTGAACCAAACTCCTATCTTTTGGTTAATCTCTTCCTAATGGCAAATATTTCCCTTACATGTTCACCTTATCAGACCTTATGCTTAGACGAACTCCCTTCCTCATACATGTTTGTCTTGTCAGACCTTGTGCTTAGATAAAATATCTTTCCCCTTGCATATTTGCCTTGTCAGACCCTGTGCTTAGGAAAATCTCCATCTCTTGTATTGTTTTGTCAGACCTTATGCTTAGACAAACCCCACTCTTACATCGTTTGCCTTGTCAGATCTCGTGCTTAGGTAAACAACCCCTTTGTAAGTTTTGATCCCTGGATCTAGGTTAAACCCTACATTTTGCATTAGGCACACTCTTTGGTTCAGATACACCTACCTTATCCAATAACACCATCCTGGTTCAATAATACTTTCACAACACTTTTATTACACAACTCTTTCTCAATTCCAACTTTTTCTTTGATATGTCAATCAACCATTTCTTTTCCTTTTGTTCTATCCTTAGTTCAAAGAACTATGGAGCTTTGACTTCCTCATTGCACATTGAAGATACATAGGCACAAGAGAACAACCTTCTTTCAACCTTTTTATTTTTACCTCTGAACTACGAAGCTCAAACTTCCTTATTGCAGTATGAGGATACGTAGGCATGAGGGCCCCAATCCTCCACGAGCACCCTAATTATAAACCTTTTTCTCCTTTTCATAAGTAATCTTTAGATAGTAACACCCATTGATGCAAAGAACATCCAAAATGGTTCTCATTGAGTACAACAGATGTGAGGGATGCTAATACATTCCCCTCGCATAACCGACTCTTTTACCCATTTCTCTCCCATTTGGGTTTTATCGATATTTTCCCTTTCTTTTTAGAATAAATAGAATTCGGTAGCGACTCTGTTGTAGCATCGAGCATGCGATGCACTCGGGTATTTTTTGCGCTATGATAGTAACCAAACTCTTTCCTTGAGATATGAATTGAGGCACTAGAGTGATGTACAACAATAACTCAAACAAAGACTTAAAATATATAAACCCTAACATTAAGAGTCTTCAAAATGTGCACACCTCAAACTCTAGAGTTCAGTTTCCTTAAATAGAAATGCTTCTTTTGAGCTTTTTCGAATGGCCATTTGATTTTATTTCGTCCAGAATAATAGTATATATTGTTAGATACGACTTGTTCCACAAAAATTTCCAACAAAAGATATAATTTGTTTTTAATTCAAATTAATTTAAATCTCCGTTTAAATTGACTTGATTTTCAACAACTGTCAAATAAATCTCACAAACGCATTGCAAAGATATAGTAACAAATATGATTGAAATCCAATTAGAAAATTTTCTCCAAACTACAACAACCAGGGCGTGTTGTCAAGGGCCATATGTTGCACTACGCACATGCTGGAACATTGTGTTACACATGTTGCACTAGAACATCCAAAATAACTCTCTTCATATAAGTCTTCATTGTAGAGTAGATCTTGGATTAAATAAATTTGAACCACATCTTCCTTCAAGGAAAATCTAGTCCAATCTTTTTTGACTAAATCAAAACCAAATCCTTTCCAAATTGATTTGGATTAACAAACAAACTTCTTTCAAAAGCAAACTTCTGCATCTTCAGAAAAAATTAACACCAAACCAAAACTGAAGGAAATTTGAAGATGATTAGAACCCAATCCTTACACCAAGATGTCACACAACATGTGTTAAACATCTTGCTTAACAAGTTGCTGATAACCAATCTTTTTCTTAAGCATTTTAGCAAAAACTTGGACTTGACAAATCTTCTTAGAAACAAATAGAATCATGCTCAAATTTATCCATGAATAGCTAACAGACTGAGGCCCGATGCTGAAATACATGCTTGAACATCTTATTCCACATGTTGCTTTTTCACAAAATACGTCTTTACATATGTTATTTTACCTCATGCAGCCAATCACATAGAACATTTAGAATGATATATAAGGTGTGAGATTGATAAAGCAGAATGCGTGAAGAAAGCTGAAATTTTGATTATAGAACTACAATTGTCCTAGTTAATGCTCTCAAGATGGAAGAGGAAAAGGTGTTTGTCAATAAAGTGTATATGAATGAACTTGAATGCCAAAGATTGTGAAAAGTTTCTGAAACGCTCAACTAACTTTATTTATAGCCGAAAACGGTTGGACGATCCAGATCAGTTAAATGAAGAAGTTATGAAATCGATGACTAGATTCCTCGTTAAAGATACATCCAAACTTGAGTGCATCAAGTGCATTATAAGTTACACCATGCCCTAACTTTTCGCATCAGCACACATGTTAAAAGAACGTGACGAAACGTCCTAATGATGAAAACACATTTAATGTGTTTGGTTCCCGCTACTTTTCAATTGACTCCAAACGTTTCAATTTCCTCACCTTGGACAACGTCTTGGAAGTCCGTCAAAATCACTAAAAGCTTCCCCGACTCACTCAGTATCCGAAAAAACCTTGGGGGCAACTGTTTTGGACCAGGCAAATGCCCAAATAGTTAAGGGTCAATTTATCTCAAGGTATAAAGTCAGTACTCATAGGAAACAATGTACGCTTTCTAATCTCCACTTTTCACTATAATTATCTTGATTTATGAACTAACTTAGAGACTAGAGTGCTATCTATGTAGGTCCAATACGCATTCCCATAAACATTAATTCATAAAGTGGTTGTCTACATTCATTTTTTATTCATAAACAGAAGACATAAATAAAAGTGGTTCTCTATAAATAAAAACAATAATTCAATGACTAATACAAATATACCAAAAAGTAAAATAAAAAAGATACAAATATTAGTTCCTAAAGATTCAAACCAATAAAGCTCATTGTTTTCTAACTTTTGCATAAAATAATGTAATTAGGACATTGATTGCAACACTACATGAGATGATACACACTCTTATCCTATGATCTATTTTAGATCATTGCAACACTTTAACAATTGCATAAAAGGAGATACTGATACATGTATTATATATGTTCTGATAAAGTTCTATTCTGTCATACAAAAGTATATACTATAATACAAGAATATCTCATTCACATAATATATTATATAACCAAGACAAAACAAAATATGAAAAAGTAATTTGATGGGATCTATTATATTCTTACCGAGTGATTATTACAATCTTGTCGCTTATAGTAGTATTTATTTACTAGTCAATAGAAAGGTCAAAGTTTGACAGTAACAAAAGATACTGAAAGTACCTATATAGTAGTATTGGTATATTGTTGCATAGGCACAATGATTTACAATATCAGAAAACCACCCCGTGATTTTAATCTCTGAAAAAGTTAAGTGCCTTTTTTTTGAGCTTTCATTTTTTTTTTCATTTGTAACTAAGGGTTATATAGGGGGTAGGGGAGGGGGACACATTAAGGGACAACACCTACCATAAGGCATAAGGTATTATCAGTGACATGTTAAGGAATTTGCAGACTCTTCCCTTTGTCATGTCCTTTTCTCTCGATATTTTAACCCTTTCACAATCATCATTCTGTTTTCTTCACACTCTTATATACTACTGCTACTATCAAGAAGCTAAGTAGAACAAAGAAACAGTGATTTTTTGAGGACCCTTTTGGATTTGAAAATGGCAAGTTGTGGAAGAGAAGGTGTAGTGAGACAATATGTAAGATCAAAAGTTCCTCGTTTAAGATGGACACCAGAACTTCATCGTTGCTTTGTTTATGCCATTGAAACTCTTGGTGGTCATCAAAGTATATATTCATTTCTACATTGTTATTGTTCTTTTCATGTTTTTTTTTGTCTTGTACTATGTTAATATATCTCATATTTTTTATTTTTTTGTAGAGGCTACTCCTAAGCTTGTTCTTCAGTTGATGGATGTTAAAGGGCTTACAATTTCACACGTCAAAAGCCATTTGCAGATGTATAGGAGCATGAGAAGTGACTCATGTAATAACCAAGGTACCAAACATTCTTTCACCTTCCTTACTATCTATTGGATATTTATTATTTCTCATTATGGTATTAAGATAATTGATTTTTGTTAAAAAATAATGTTCAGTTTCCATGCACAAGTTTGGAAGTTTACTTATAAATATTAGATTTTTGCTCACTTTATAAAGCTTGTTACCACAAAACTTAGCCTATGTTACATAAAATGGTGGCTCACTAGCACGTTTAAGGTCTTTTTCGCTGTGATTTTGAGAAGTTGGTATTTATAGTTTCTGTTCCACCTTGATTTTTCATCATGATTTTCAAACATGTTATAATAAGAGTTCATTTATAGTTAATGTTACTTCAATTCATAAGCATGTTATTAATCAATGGTATTGGGCCATGTAGTAATTATTCCCAACAAACTTTACAATCTATAATTTCCTTAATGTGTTGGTTTATATGTGACAGATAGGACTATATCCGTACATAAAAGACAATCTTTTCAAGAGAATGATGATGGATCTATTGGAAAGGAATCTGATTCTCTCTTTAGCTACACAAATTTCTCCCCAAAAAGGTAACCATAGCTTTATAATTTTTTTATCCATCTAAATAATTTCATACTTTTCAAAGGACTAAATAATTTCATACTTTATAAATTTATATCCATCTAATATAATAGAATTTTCTTAATTTTATATAAATTTAGATTGTTAATGGTCACAACACAATACGTGGTCAGCCACATCATGACCGTCTAATCAAAACCAAACACCGAAACGATATTATTTTGGTTTAAAGACTATTTCATTAACATTTGGATATTCTTGATGATCAGAGCTAGAATCGAGAAGAAAAGTCCGTTCTCCAGGGAAAGTTTATGTGAAGCAGTTCCAAGTCCATACACAAGATTCTATGATTATGGGCAGGACATGGTTCAGGAGCAGCAGAAAGGAATAAAGAACATTTGTGTTGATGGTTCAATATGGAAGATCACTCCTGAACCACAATATTGCACAATGCTACCAAAACAAGAAACTCATTTGCTCAAGGTACTTATAATTCCATAAGATATTCGTCACAGTTCTGTGACTAACCTACACATGAACTCCGAAAACGTATCGATAATTTTATAATAAAAATGATGGTAAGGGAAATTGAGAATCAATTGCACATGCACTGTGCCAAAAAAAACTATAATGATTGCATTGAATTTGTACACTAATCATTTCTACATTTCAGTGGTCCTACCAAATTATTTGAATTCAGACTTGTAAAATTTTAGTGGTCCTGCTTAAATATTTAAATTCAAAATGCCATCATTTTTACAATTTTATTCTTGCAGGTTACAAAGTTAAATGAAAAAAAGAATGTGAATGAAAAGAGTGTACCTGCAAAAGAAGAAGAAGATATAAGAGGAGGTTGTGAATTGTCATTATCAATTTCATTGCCACAAAAAAATAATGATGTGAGAGACTCTGGATTTAGTAACTATAAGGGTTGTTCTACTGTCCAAAACAGAATTAATTTGGATCTATCTTTGGCTATTTGAATGTTAAATGGATTGTGTTTTTTTTATGCATGTCGGTACTTAGTACTAACATTCTTAGAATGGTAGTACTATTATATATACTCCTCTTGGAACAAAACATTGGTATGTGTATTGGGTCAAATTCACCACCCTCCATGTTGCCTTGCATATATAAAAACATTAAAGAGAAGAAGACAACATTAAAGATGGCGAAGAAAGCTTTTCATTGGGGAAAAGTTACCTTTGCAGTGAAAATTGAGTTTTAAATGTGTTAAGAAAATTTTGGAAAATTAGTCCCTCTTATGTGAGAATAAGACAATAAGTTGTCAAGTTTCACTATATTTTAACTGAATTTAACATTTACTCGACCGCCCTGGAATTATATGAATTTCAAAAAGATTCATCGGTCTTTTAAATATAACTATTTTGTAGAAAATTGACTGCTTTCAAAACTGTTATTAATGCACTTAAATTCTTCAAATGATACGTGACTAAACATTTTGGTCATTTAATTCAATGGGTCTTTCAATTTTTATAGTAAGAGTGTTTATTGGTGTTTCTAATAAACAAATAATAAGTTTTAAACTCTAAAAAATATAAGGAACGTTCGAATTTAGATTCAATTGGATAGAAATTTTAATAAGTAAAATGCATAATCACTTATAAGGATAAAGCAAATGAAGAAAGATATAAAAAAAAAAATCAAGAAAAGTGTTTAAATTAGAAGTGAAACACAAGTACATATACTTTTTACAAATTCTTTATCTTTGTGATTTAGATGTGCGAATTCTAAAAAGAACAGAATGAAAATGTCAGCCCTTGTCTAAGAGACCAAATTTACTTTTAGATTATGTATATCAATAACAGTCGACAACGGTTATTTTTCCAGGATTCGACACGTATCTTGCTATGCGAACTTCTCTCTTCATTTATGTTTCCACATGTCTTTGGTTATTGAACTGCCTTAAACTGCTACCATTGTCAAAATTGTCTTTCAATCCTCTAATTGCATCTTTCGAAGAGTTTTCCTGTCAAATTTTGTTGCCTGGCGTAGAAAATGCCTAAAAATCATCCAATCCTTGGATTCAAGAATACGTTAAGTCCTAAAACACCTAATCGGCAAGTTGAACTCATCGACCCTAATAGGTGGGTCGAATTCATCACCTTTGTCGAAAGAATTAATATGTCGAAACTATAGCTTGGTCATCTTACACTCAGTCTTTCATACCTTTATACCATACTTTCATGTCAAAACACTAAGCTAAAATTCTCAGGCTAACAGATGCCCCCTAAAAATATCATTTTTCAATCGTATCTACAATATGGAAGAAAGATGGCGTTTTTAGTAAAATTCACAACACTATCCAAATCATCATGCATACGTCACTATCGTCATGACTTCCGCCATTTAACTGACACCATGCCTATTTTCACTCAACTATCATGTCTGCGACGTGCAAGAACCCATGAGTGCATTCTTCCATTTCGTCATGTTTTGAATGATATCAAAACTAGGAGCGACTTAGCGTTTTTGTACATTGGACGATATCAACCAAATTCTAGATGTGCATTGATCATCTTAGCATTAGGATGCATACAAATATGTTTGAAAATGATTGGAAATATCTTAGGCATGTTTCATGCATCAAAAATGAGTTTTTACTATGAAAAATGTTGCATAGGCCGACACACACATGCTCGGGTCGACCTATAGAAGCTTTTGCTTCAGTATAGGTCGACACATAACTGGCTCAGGTCGACCTCCATGCCTTAATAATGAAGGTTGTATTTTTTGCCTTCTGATTGCCTCAGATAGGCCGACCTAAGATCTTTACAGATTGGCCTATTACTTTCAAAGGCCGACCTAATCACTTAAAAAGTTAAAAATTTGTTTTTCATTTCAATTTTTCTTGCATTCCTTTTGGTCTTTATTCTCTCCAGGATGACCTTTGTACTGTTGTATGGAAGCATAGAAATAAGGTAGAAGTTCTTCTAAATCTTTAAATAGTTCATCGCTCAAGAAGTCAATAAGATCATGAGAATTTCCACATACGAAGACTTGGAGCATATTGGTGAAGCTAGAAGATTCAAGAAAAGATATTCAAGTAAAGATTTCACATAGAGTTCGACATCAAGGCTGAATACACGTTAAGATCCAGATAGAAGTTTTTTTTCTTGGGCTTATTGTGGATTTAGTGATTGCATGAACTTGTCTAATATTTGTCAAAACATTGTGGAAGAACAACTTTCAATGGGAAACCATTGAAGAATGAAGTAGGCTCTTGTGAAGACAATGGAACCAAACCACTATACATCTTGATGTTTTCTCTCTCTCTCTCTCTCTCTCTCTCTCTCTCTCTCTCTCTCTCTCTCTCTCTCTCTCTCTCTCTCTCTCTCTCTCTCTCTCTCTCTCTCTCTCTCTCTCTCTCTCTCTCTCTCTCTCTCTCTCTCTCTCTCTCTCTCTCTCTCTCTCTCTCTCTCTCTCTCTCTCTCTCTCTCTCTCTCTCTCTCTCTCTCTCTCTCTCTCTCTCTCTCTCTCTCTCTCTCTCTCTCTCTCTCTCTCTCTCGTGCGCGTGCGCTATCTATCTATCTATCTATCTATCTATCTATCTAGTATTTTAATTTTTGTAGGTTATTGCATGTTTAGGTAATCATTTCTTAATGTAGTTTATCGTTAATTCTTGCTACTAGCGATTAAATACATAAGTGTAGGTTTTTTTAGAATCAGAATCTATTTATGTTTTAGTGCTGATTAAAATATGCAAACTATGGTGTTAGAATCCTATAACAATTGAATTTTTTAAATATCACTTCTAGTGAAACTTTGCATTTTATCAATTCAATATAGTCTGTAACTTTTTTTATTGTCTTTGGACAATCTAAAGATAAATAAAAATTGTGGTATAATTGAATTTGTGATCCTTCCAAGATAAGCATAACATCTTTGATTCTACATATCGCTTTTCGCAACATAAACTATAAATTTCATTTTGAAAACCTTGAGAAACAATTTTGAAATTTGGATAAATTTTGAAAGGGTCTATTCACCCCTTCTAGACCATTCCTCTATTGCATATTCTCACCCAACACTAAGGCTTCCAATTCATCCACTATATTCATCCCTTTTTGGAGCTGCTGATTTAATAGATTTTGTCCTCCAAAGTTTGGTTTTGACGACGAAGGTCGTCCATAACAACGTACATCTCCTTTATGAAACTTTCCTTGCAGTTAGAGTCTTTGATGGCTGAAGCAACTATCTTCTTGTTCACCATGATGTGGGGAGAGCACATAGACAATACCCACTTGGATGCATTGAGGGATTTCCGGGTCAATTTTACCAGGGTCCCACAGTGGATGCTAATTTTACTAGATAAAAGTACAATATATGTGACAACCCCTAATAGATAAAGGTTGTCACATGCTTTAAGTTTGTTAGGGTCATTAGAGCTAGCTCATGTAAGGTGAAAAGTTGTTGTATAAGTGCATCTCTTGAAGTTATGAGTCTTTTTAAATATAAAGGTATTAATGTATTTATAGCCACCAAGTGTAACACCCCAACTTTAAATTACTAACCTTATTTAATTATTTGAGTGTTTTTATATGTGTTGTTTGCTTTATTTAAATTTATTATGAATTATTTGATTTATTCTTGTGTTTTGTGGGATTTAGGGGCATTTTAGTAATGTAATAATTACTTAGATTATAGAATATTTGAGGGTGGAGAAATAAAATTGAAATATTAGAATAATTAGATATATTTGAAATAATTAGCCGAATAAAATAAAAATGGTTCTTTTAAAATTATTAAGTAAATTATATTTTTATTAAATAATTATTTAGTGGATTTTTTATTTAATAGAATAAATTTTTTATATTATTTAGAAAATAGAAATTTATACAATAAAATAATTATTGAGATTATTTTAATAATGATTGGAAATATTAGTAATATTGTCGTTGATGTAACGGAAAATTTTGAGATTAAAGTATTGATTAACTTAACTCGCAAAAACAAGAGTCGCCACCACACTTTTATTTCATCCAAAGAAAAGGGAAAAGAGTGAACAAAACCTAAAGAAGTTTTAAAACAAGAACAAATAAACAGAGACAGGGTAAGGGGTTTGGTTACACAATGGAAAAGTGTTAACACCCAAAACGTCTATAGTACTTTATAGGAACCTCTTTGAAAATCTAGAGTTTGGCTTATAAAATGTGTTGTTTGGAAAAGATGGTGGAGGTGAGAAGAGAAGTTTTTTTTTAATGATTTTGTGTTTGACAAGACTTCCTAAGCCTTGTGCCTACATACCCACAAGTGCAATGAAGAATCAAAATCTCGTATTTCGTGGTAAAAATAACCAAAATAGTTTGTTATGATTCATTTTAAATGAAAAGACAACTTGTCATTTTAAGGAGAAAACTTCAACTAATCACCCACAAGTATGTGAAAATGGACCTTTGTATCACCATAAGAAGGATTCCAACTTGGATAAAATCGACAAGTATGCCACTAACTCTCAAAGGTGGAAAAGTGTCTGCCTATTTCAAACAATACTATGAGGATAGGAGGATCACATCTCAACTTTAAATGACTCATGTCTAAACTTTATGAAAAGTTTTAACGCAAAAAGTACACAAAGGCACAAAATGATTTGAATGGCTTAAGTGTTTTTTAAATCTTTTGAAAAATGGTCAAAGTATGCTTAAGGTTGATTAACCTTTATTAAGAAAATGAAGTTTGAAAATGAACTTGACAAAGTCAAGGTTTGTTATGAAAAAGGTTCTAGTTTGAAATAAGAAGGTTTTGAAAAGAGAGAGAAGATTTTTAAAATTTAAGAATGAGGAGAAGATGAAGGGACTATCTTAAATCATAAAATAAAAGCTAAGGAAGGAAAGATCTAACCAAGATACAAGCCTTTGAGATAACAAGCCAAAACTCTCATCCTTTGGACTTAAGCAACCAATATAAACAATTAGTGCAGAGAAAACTAAGCATCAGAGAACCAAGCATCAGATGAAAGCCA